CCCTCCCTCCCTCCCTGTCCATCTCTTTCTCTCCATCTGCCTGCCTGTCTGTCTCTGCTTCTCTCTTCTCTCACCGGGCGGGTGTGGATGAGGTCCGAGATGTCGCTAACGAGCTCGGCAACGATGCGGACGAAGTCCGCCTCCGACGTGTGTGCGGCGGCGAGAGCCACCATGCTCGACTCCACCGTGTGGTGCAGCATGTCCACGTCCTTCCAGCGTTAAACATATTACGCGGGCAACCGGAGGGGTGTCAGGTGGACTTGCTTCCGAGCTGACAAAAAAGACACATGCACAACACCGCTGACGGGGAGCATAAACATAAACTGTGATCCCCCGTTAGTTTCCTGGGTCAGTCTTACCTCCCCTCATAAAAATAAGTGCACAACCACCCCTTTTCTCCATCTACTCGGCGCGAGCTAATTTTTCCACACCCGATTGTACAGCGGCACCATCAACTGGAGGCAACTACACTCGATGTATCCCCTCACGCGCGTTGGTCAAAGGAAGGCATGGTGGGCGGACGGGTCTAATACTGTACGTAACTCTCGTAGATGCTATGTCGGTCTACCAGTGGAACTCCTATTTCGCAAGCCCTTCTTTTCTCTCTGACGGTGCTCGCTCACTCTTGCTACCGGCACAACTCCCGATCGGTGAGAGCTTCCTTCCACCGCTGAATACAAGAATCTATCAGCCAGGCAGATTACTCGTCGTAACTCTAAACAAGGTCGACTTCTGTTTGTGTGCGAGGAGAGAAAATCGCATCAGCAAAAAATACGGGTAACATTCATACCAGCAGGGGGGATCAGGTCGAGCCAGCTTACACCAAACCACGCCATGTACAGTACCAGGAGAAGGTCTTGAAGGAGGGTCACCAGACGACGCCGTCCGGCCTCTTCGGTGAAGTCTGCATGGGTCGCAAGCTTCAGCAACTGCACATCAACACCACAACAAAGCAAGTACGTACGTAAGCGAGCGGGACAACATCGGACACGACGGCACATGGTACACGGACATTCGGCAGCGGCGGCGTTGCGAAACCACGGCGGTAGCAAATTGTTTGCGCGCTTCGAAGCACAGTCGGGAGCCGTGCGAGCGAGCATCAAAGAACATGACATGAAGATGGTATTTGTCTACCAGCAGCAGCGCCTGGAAAAGCCAACATAGCCACAAGGCCTGCGCCCTCAAAACAGACAAAAGGCAAAAGAAAATGCTCACGTGAAAGCTCATCTTCAATATGTAGACATGCCTGCAGACAAGCCCCCCCCCCCCCGAAGGAAGGGACACCCCCGAAGGAAGGGACCAGAGCAAACACCACAGAGAACATTACATCTCGAAGGAAAGAACAAAACAACAACAACAACAACAACCAAATAACGCCAACACCGGCAACAACAAGACCGGCCAACCTGCTCGAGAACGAAGACTTGGTACTCCACGCGGGCGTCGTTGTCGCCCACGTCCTTCGACACCAGCTCCTTCACCTCCTGCGCGACGACCTCGATCTGTCCGCAAAGGGTCATGGTATCCGTCAGGATGGTCTCCAGACGGGTCTCCTTCTCTCCGGCGGACATCACCTGTGTTGCCCAGCCAAACGGGGGCGATTTCGTGTCTCAGGCATGCAGAAAAAACTGCCACTACCAGCAGTGCGCGTGTCTCAGACATGCAGAAAAAAACGCCACTACCAGCAGTGCGCGTGTCTCAGACATGCAGAAAAACTAACCCCACCAGCAGCATCAGCATCAGCATCAGCATCAGCAGCACACCACCACTCTGCAGTCCCATACGACATAGCCCCAGCACGCACAGCGAGCGCCTTGCACAGCGTGGGCGGCCGTAAAAGCGGCAGTGCTGCTGGGGCAGCAGCAAGTGAGCAGGAACCTCAGTTCACCATCGTGCACTCCACGTTAGGACCTACGTCAAATCGGACAGGGAGGGCCAAACATACGGGCTAGCCTTGCCTTCGCAAAACTTCGCAGTGACTTCCAAATACATGTAAGGGGTGATTGTTTTACGCCAATCATACGGGACACCGTTACATGAAAGGTACCACCTCTTCAACTTCTTCGCCCCCTTGCCTCCCCCCCCCCCCCCCC